TATGAGGAGGAAACATCACCGAAGTATCCCGAAGTGAAGCGCCACACACACACTCATCAAGGACACCATAAAGACAAGATTGAAAGCATCTTATGAAGAGGAAACATCACTGAAGTATCCCAAAGTGAAGCGCCACACACACACTCATCAAGGGCAGCATAAAGACAAAATTTGAAGCATCAGCCCAAAGGGAAACATCACGGAATTTTCACAAGGTGAATCGCAACTCATTCAGGCTTCCAAATCAGTGAAAACTCAAAGTTTGAAGCATCAGCCCAAAGGGAAACATCACGAAACTTTCACAAGGTGAATCGCAACTCATTCAGGTTCCCAAATCAGTGAAAACTCAAAGTATGAAGCATCAACACAAAGGGAAACATCATGGAACTTTCACAAGGTAAATCGCAACTCATCCAGGCTCCCAAATCAGTGAAAACTCAAAGTTTGAAGCATCAGCACAAAGGGAAACATCAAGGAACTTCCACAAGGTAAATCGCAACTCATCCCGACTCCCAAATCAGTGAAAACTCAAAGTTTGAAGCATCAACCCAAAGGGAAACATCACGAAACTTTCACAAGGTGAATCGCAACTCATCCAGGTTCCAAATCAGTGAAAACTCGAAGTTTGAAGCATCAGCACAAAGAAAAACATCACAGAACTTTCACAAGGTGAATCGCAACTCATTCCCCCCCTTTAGATCAGCAAAAATCGCCGTTTTGACAAGAGGAGAAGGGGGAGAGGGGGGGGGGAAGAAAAGGAAAAGAAGAAGGAGAGGAAGAAGAAGAAGAAGAAGAAGAAGAAGAAGAAGAAGATGAAGAAGAAGAAGAAGAAGAAGAAGAAGAAGAAGCAGAAGAAGAAGAAGGAGGACGCCTCCCTCCTCTTTCACTCACCTCTTGCTGGTCTCTAGGCAGTGGGGGTCCAATGCTTGGTTCTAGCCTCATGGGTATGGCTTCTCCTCCCTCCCAAGTCCTCTCCTACTCCCCTCACACCTCTCCTTAAGTTATGGCACGTTCCTACTTCTAAGGCTGTGGAGTCCTTTCCTCTAGAAGGGCTATTGGGACCCCTTTTCAGCCTCTCCTCCTACTTCACAGCCTGAGGGTTATGGAGGACCACTCTCTTTGCTCCCTCCTAGCTTCTTGGTCACCTTTCTAAGTCCTACCACCATAGTCAGGCTATAGGCTAGCTCCAGCCCTCACTCCCTTGCTTCTCTCCCACTCGGACTCTCTCCCGGACTCATTTGGGCAGCATGGGCACCTCTCATGCTCAAATGAGAGTTGCGGCTTGCACCTCCAGCTTATGTAGGCTGGAACAGGTGCACCGCCCAACCTCTAGGCCCTTCCAAGTGCCTCTAGGTGGAGCGAGGTACCCCAAAGGCCAAATTTCCGGTTTTGGCCGATCTTGGGGTACCTGGGCCTCATTTCGGCCAGGTTCATGCAGTTCGAGAGGTTGGTACCATCCGGACTACCCCTTGGCCTACCCCGTTCTCCTTTCACCTCAAAAAGTGCTGCCGTACCCCAAAATGCAGTCTTTACCAAAATTTGAGGGCCTAGAGGCCCGTTTTCCACCTTTTTCTTGGTCTAGGCCTCCTTTGGGTAGGCCGTTGCATATTCCCAAGTGGCGGCACAGATCTCAGCCTTGGATCTAGCTGAGATCTATGGTTCTCATCATTGCGAGTCACTCCAAGCTCCCCCTTGCTCCAAATTTGAGCCTTTGCTCCAATTTTTTTTTTTTTTTGATGTACCTGGCCCAGACCTTGGGCCAAATTCGCAGTTTTGTCTTGTTCCTCTCTTTGTTTTCCCTCCATTTTGCTGCCAGCTCATTCCGGAGCTAGTCGCTTTGTGTCAGCCCACAAAAAACGGCTAGATTTCCTCTTCCGTAAGATCATATTTCAGATCTAGGGCCTAAAATTGAGCCGGCCAACTCACATCAGAATTTTCCCTTATTTTTGCTGCTTAAATTCAAATATTGCAGAGATAATGCCCCAAGGACCTTATCTCTGCAATCCGGACTGCCCTCCTAGGATTTACGAGGGATGAGGTCATCATTGCAACTTACCAGTCCCTACCGCTGCAGTCCCTACCTGGCGGCACTTTTTCCTCCACTCCTTCCTCCTCCTTTGTCTCATTCCCCCCCTTTTTCCTCCTTTATTTTCTCGTTTACTGTTAGGACAAGTGTCCAACAACTATTTCTCCTCTTTCTAGCTGTTGGACCTTTCCCAAGGTCCGATTTTGCAGCCGACATATGGCCGTTGCACCTCGGACTGCAGTAGTGGCAGCCCCAAGGCCAAAGGGGGCTCCTTTTTATTGCCGCCGCCTCCAGTTTAAGACCCCCTTGCTCCGATTTTCTCTGGCCATCCCTTTTTTCCATGTGGAGGTCTCCGAACTTCGTTTTTCTTGGCCTGGCTAGTCCGGGATACTCGGACTGCTGGCCGAGCCCCCCTTACTGCTGTTACTCCATCTTTTCTTTCCCCTCGGCACCTCCCGCCGACGCTTGCCGTGGTGGCACTTAACGTTTTCATCCGGACTCCCCGGCCCGGCTGGTCCCGTCCACCTGTCGTCATGCTACTTTATTTCTGTTGTCGTCGCATTTGATCCAGGACCCCCTTGGGTTGCCCCAGGTGCCCTCCGTTTTTCTCGCCTCGCGCCCGTCTTCTCTGTTCTGTCGACAATCCCTGTCGGAGGCTCCTGACACTTTTTATTCCGCCAATACCCAATCTGCAAGTGGTTCCGCTGCTGCCGCCATTTTATCTAGGCCCGCGCAGTCCCTGGCACTTCGGCCTGCCTGCATTACGTCTTTCCCTTGGTCTTATGTGGTTCCCTGTACTTTGCCCTGCCGGCACCAATCCGGCCCTTGGTCCCGCATGGTCCCCGACGCTTTGTCCTGCTGGTACCGCCCCGTCCTTCTATCCCATGTGGTCCCCGACACTCCTGCCCCACCTGTACCACGTCTTTCCTTGGTGCCCCTGATGTCTTTCTGCCTTACAGCGACCTCCGCTCTCCGCTCCTATTGCGTCCCGCATGCTATTCCATTCCGGGTGCCGGCTCCCACCTACCCTGCGGTCTCCCTGGCCCTCCTGCCGCCGCGTTGCGTCAGCGCCTTGCGCCCTATCCCTTTCCACTTCTTTTCTTCCCTTGTTGCGCACCTCCTATGCTACTACCGACTTCCCGGCGGCCCTTCTCCGTCCTTGGGGAAGGAGTCGCCCCTTCTGTTCTCTCACAGTCGTTTTGCCGCTTTCAACTTAGCCAACCCATTTCTAGTCTGGCAGCCCCGACGACTCTGGGCAGCCTTTGGCTTCCTACTGTCCGTGCCCATGCTTCCGCTCTTTCCAGCATACCTGCCTCCGGTTTTCTCTGTCGTGCACAAATTGGTCATATACAGTCTCTCGAGTGACGGGAAGTCATTTGGGACTCACCAGTCCCGACACCGGGCACGCCACTCCGCCAACCGCATTCGTGCATCCTTGGCCATCTCATCCCGTGTGAGATCTTCCACCGGTTCAATGACATCCTCTTCCCATTACGGTGAACCCTTATCGGCCTTCGGCTTCTTGATCAATGCATCCAACAAACGCTGGTTCCATCTGTTGAAAACCAGCGTGCTAAGCTTGATGGCGTCGACTCCGCCAAGGTTGTTACGGAGACGACTATGAATTCGTTCGAACAAGCTCCAGTTCCTCTCGCAACAAGAGGAGGAGGACGCTTGTCCAAGCAGACGAGCGACTTGCTTCTGGAGGATGGGCATGTCACTGCACCACTTCCTCCACCACCTCGCCGACTGCATCAGACGGGCCTGCGTCCTTGCATCTTCGCAATTGTGTCCCCCAGTGCCCTCAATCCAACAACAGACCTCTGCGTCGACCTCAACAAACGACGACTCTTTGCACCACAAGTAAAGCCACGTCCAAAACCCATCTGCAACCTCTGCATCCATTTCTGGCCGCGACGCTCTGTATTCCGGATCCAAGAACAGCGCAGCACAATGTAGCGGTGATGCCATTGCATTCCAGCGCCGCATGATGATTGCCTTGAGTTCGTCCTTCTCTGCTTCGGCAAAGTGCTTGCTCACCCTTAGTTTCTCCACTGCGCTGTCCATACAGGCATACACCTTGCTAATGGTGGGGCCCGTGCCATCGACCTTCTTCAAAAGTTTGAGCAGGTTCTTGGACGTCTGCATCACCTTCTCGACATCTGCCCAGAAGGTGTCGTCCAAAATGGAATGTGTCGCCTTCACAAACAAATCGCGCAGCGAAGTGTGCACGATCGCTGGCTTCCAGTCGTCATCTGTCACACACGCACGCAGCGGTAAATACGACCCCTACAAGCTTGACAACATGATGAAGTTCGTGGCAAACCGGATCGCACCCGGTTTTGACACTACACCGCCATTGGAGTAGTGGATCAGGAGGTCCCACACCCGCGAATGGTTCGTGAAGACTTTGCAAAGCTCCGATGCCCTTTTCATAATTGCACGGACCCACCCGATCTTCGCGAAAGACTCGAACATCAAGTCCAGGGAGTGTGTTGTGCACGAGACAGAGAAGATGTGAGGGTAATCTTCTTCAATCATTTGCCCCGTGGCGGCGCAAACAACAACATTGTCCATAATGACCCCCACCACTGCCTCCGCACCTATCTCCTCTATTGTCCTCTTCAGAATGGCACAGTATGCTGAGGCGCCCTTGTTGCGCCGTGAGATTCACTCACTTCTCCAAAAGATGAAGCCTTTAGGGAAGGAGACCATCACGTTGATGTGTGGTCTCTGTCGGTGATCTGTCCAACCATCAAGCTGCAACATGCAACCAGTGGTTGGCCACTCCTGTCGCAACTCCTCCACCCTCTTCCGGACCCTGCCCTTTGTCACTTCGACCCTCTTCGTCCTTGCGTTTTCGAACTTCGCGTACCTGAAGCCTTTCGGCTCATTCATGAGCGGATGCACCATTTTGTCCCAGTACTCGCTCTTCATCATGTTGAACGTGATGCATTTGGTCGTCATCCAGTCGTCTATCGTGCGTTGCGTTTGCTCGTGTGCCGTAATGACAGCAATGCTGTCCGTGATAGTTGTCTTGTGGAGCCCAACTACAGACCTTGATGGATCCATAACTCTTGTCGTTGACGTCCGCGGATTCATCTGGCGGAGCCCTACCACAGACCCTGATGGATCCCGTACTCCTCCCGACGTCCGCGGAGCATTCTCATCCTCCGATGACTCCTCCATTTCGGGCACTCCCATTTTCGGCCCCAACTCGGACATGGCAGCCGACCTAACCTTCTCCCTCCTCAAGTACTCCTCTTTTGGTATAGTACCTCTGAGGCGCTCAACGTCGCATGTCGACCCCTTGAGGAAATGTTCCCTTGCCTAGCTGGCCGTCCCCGCCACGGGCTTGTCGCAGACTCGCAGTAATTGCATATACGTTTTTTGTTCCCCTTGTCCGCTTGGCCACTGATCCCTCTTCCCTGAAGTGTTTCTTCACGGTCTGGCTACTATTGCTTTTAGTCATCCTGCAAGCACAAAAAGAAAGCGAAACGAACAACACTTGTTAAAGCCGGTTGACTCCCTGACCCTCAATGTTGTCCCTCATCCACTCTCCATTCACTCTTGTGCCCTTAATGTTCTCCATCCTTCACTCTCGATTCACAAAAATCAACCGTCCAATCAATCAATCAATCAATCAATCAATCAATCACTCAATCACTCAATCAACCAATCAACCAATCAACCAACCAACCAACCAACCAACCAACCAACCAATCAACCAGTTAATCAATCAATCAATCAATCAATCAATGAAACAGTCAATCAATCAAATTGAATTAATCAATCAATCATTCAATCAGACAATGAAGAGAAGCCTTCATTGATAGATGGATTGCGTTGATTGATTGATCAGTCGATGGGTTGAATCATTGATTAATTGATTGATTGATTGATGTTTTTTTTGATTGGTTGGTGGATGGTATGATTGACTTATTGATTGATTGATCGACTGATTGGTTCATTGAACTTAATTAATTGATTGATTGATTGATTGAGTGAGTGAGCGAGCGAGGGATAGAGTGATTGATGGCTTAAGCGACCAATAATAGAACAGTTTCGAAATTTTGACAGCACAACAACACCCAATTTGGGGTCAAATGGCTGCCAAAAACAAGAGTGGCTTGATGACAATCAACTGAAGAATCAATCAATCAATCACAAAAGTAAAAAGATGCAAATGAAAAATGAAGAAAAGGTCAGACAAACTCTAAGTAACAAATATGGAGGAAAAAAAAAGGGAACGAGGATCAAGTTCCGTTCAACGGTTCAAACATTCAAACAAAAAGAAAGAAAG